GTTGCACCAGGGGAGGTTTAGATTGGATATTATGAAAATGTTTTTCACTGAAGGGATTTTAAAGCATTGGAAGGGATTGCCCGGAGTAGTGGTAGTGTCACCATCCCTGGAAGTGTTCAGAAACCATGAGTGTATGACACTTGAGGACGTGGTTTAATGGTGACCGTGGTGGTGGTGCTGGTTGGTTGGACTTGATGATCTTCAAGCTCTTTTCCGACATTGCAGCGATTCTGTGATTCGAGGCCTTTCCCAGCTCTGATGTCATTCCCTGGGTCGCTAACCTTGAGTCTCCCGTGTTCCTTTCTCAGTCATTAATGGCAGCAGGGTGAGGAGTGCCATCTCCCGGGGATGCCTGCTGGTTTGTTGTTTCAGCCTGGCCCAGGCTCAGGGTTGCTGGCTCTGTCTGAGGCGCTCAGGCCGTGTGGCCACAGCAGCGTGGGGACAGTGGCACACTCGTGGTGCTCCCCTGTGGGCTTTGTTTACACTGGACTAAAGTGCTGTTTAGTACCTGGTGAGCTTCAGTATCTTCTGAGGTTAGGCTTTTGTTCACCTTTTGAGTGCTGGACAAATCTTTCTGTGGTGTCCCCCCAGCTTCTTCTAAAGCTTCTTCCTGACACCTTTCAAGCATCCAGGTTTTTTATGTTTGTCTTTTGTGTTTCTTCTTCTCTGTTTTGTCTCTCTGATTATCCTGCACTTCACCCTGAGTCTGTGGCTTTCTCCCTGACTGCTTCTCTATTCTGTGGAGATGTAAAGATCAGCTCATGATTATCCATGTTAGCTTCTTCTATTTCGGTGGGAAGGAACAAAACTAAGAACAGACTTTGCCTTTATTCTGTTTCATTAGAAAAACCTAAAGAATTTCTGTTCTTTGGATTTGTTTTTTGTTTGTTGAAATCTGCATTCTGAATGTCTCCCTTCTTTGCCTGTTCTCCTGTCTCTTTTTTTTTTTTTTTCCAATACTTTTATCCTGCAAGGGAAATTTAGATAGCTAAAATCTTCTGTGTAATCAGTATTGTGCTTTGTCTGGCTCTTATTCAGAAATAACCATTTCCACTTGATGCTCTTGACCACTAGCACTCGGTGCTGCCCCTCTACCCAGCCCTGGTGAGGCACATCTGGAGTGCTGTGTCCAGTCCTGGGCTCCTCAGGACAGAAAATATGGAGCTCCTGGAGCAGGTCCAGGGGAGGGCAGCAAAGAGGATGAAGGGACTGGAGCATTTCCCTTATGAGGAAATGCTGAGGGAATTGGGCCTGTTCAGAGGTGAAAAGAGAAGACTGAGAAGGGACCTAATCAATATCTGTCACTATCTGAGGGGAGGTGCCAGAGGACAGACCAGGCTCTGCTCAGTGGTGCCAAGCAATGGTACAGGAGGAAATGGGCAGAAACTGATTCCCAGGAGGTTTGGCCTGAACATGGGAAAGAACTTCTTTAATGTGCAGGTGCCTGAGCACTGGACAGGCTGTCAGAGGGGGTGTGGGATCTCCCTCACTGGGGGTATCCCAGAGCCATCTGGACACAATCCTGTGCAATGTGATTTGAGATGACCCTGCTTGAGCAGGGAGGTTGGCTCAGATGACCCAGTGTGGTCCCTTTCACCCTGAACCCTGCTGTGACCCTGTGACAGTGCTGCAGTCAGATCTTTCTCCTTTCTCACATGCAGTGCTTCAGCTCATCTGTCCCCAGTGAAAGTGTGGACATGCAGGGTTGTATTCAGCAAATGCATTCAGCTTCAGTAAGGAAACTGCCACCTTCCTGCTCCTTCTGTGCTTCACTCTGTGACCAAGCTGTCCACCCCTGCATTAAATGATCCAGTGGCATCAGTTCTCTCCCTTAAGGATTAGTTCCTCATACTTGCTGTGGAAGTAAGTAGGTGTTCCATGGGTGACTCACTGTGTCTCTTTTGTCCTAATTGCAAGTGCTTCATCTCTCCTAATATTTAGCAGGCCTTTGCCCAGCTCACCAGGTTTATGCTGAACTGTGTGAGCTTACAACTTGCACCTGACACCAGTACTCTCTTCATCAGTTAATTCTTAACCTAATTCAAGGTGTGCTTTCAGTCCTTTCCTCTAGGTTCTTCAGCCTTTTTTAAATTCACACTGACATCCAGTATGGGAGTGGAAGAACAGCCATGTCTCTGGCACCAAAATGCCACACAAGCCCCATGTTTACAGTTCCTTTCTCTTTTTCTTTTAATAGATTCAGGATGAGTTGAGTTTTGATTGATGCAGATTTATTCCTGTGTTTTCATCTTGCCTTTTCTATTATTATCATTCTTATTTATTATTTCCCATAATTCTCTGTTAAAATTCCATGTGGAATACAATGTTATAGTGTTGAGGTGTTTTGAGGGGATATTTTAACTGGAAAATTTGATTGTTGCTTTTCCTTCCCATTCTTAAGACTGAGGAAAAAGGTTTCTTGTCATCTTGTTTCCTCAGTCTTTTCTTTGCAGAGCTTCTGTTCTCACATTCTTCATTTTGGAAAATATGCTTTCATGCCAGTGTTGATTTCCTTCAAATATGCATTTATCCTTTTTCTTTTGTAGATGGAATGAATTTGTTGCTCATATATTACTCCACTTTCTTGCCAAGCTGATGCTGAGAAATAGTTTAACCATTGTATTGTAATAGTGTGGTTGGTGTTGTCCACAGAGGATTACACAGGATTGGGGCAGCAAAAGACAAAGCTCCAAAGTGTTGGTGACATGAACACGGGGTCTCATTGGTCTCTTTGAGGACATATGGTTTGAAGTTGCTGGTTAATGATACAAGAAGTGTCTGTTCTGTCTTGCTAGCTCATGCCACACATGCATGTGTCCCTTTCAGTAACAACCTCCCCCCAGCCAAGCAGGGCAGATTGTTTTCACAGTCATTAGAGTTTAATTCTTTTCTTGAAAAGTTACTGCTGCCAAAAGAGCTTGCCTGGGTGGAGAACCCAGTTATGTTGCTCAAGCCTTTTGACAGTTCCATCAGCCTTTCTAAATAAAAAAGTGGGTGTATCCTATTTGTGATTAATATTATTTAGATTTTTTCTGCTTTGTCTCATCTCACTCTTCTTTGTCCTAGAGGTCATTGTGATTACAAGGAAGGAAATCCAGAAGATGCTAAACCTGGACACAAAAATGAAGCTTGATTTTGTGTGCATCAGTGACAACATGGACATGGGTACAGCAGATTCACTGAGGCATATTCACCAGAAAATTAAGGTATTACTGTCTTTTATTGAACTTAAATGGAAGTTATTTGTTTGTAATTTTTTTCATTATATTGTAAGGGGTGTCCTATGTAGTGATACTGTGCATAACTGAATTTCCTGGTCTTCAAAAGAGCTGAATTTTGTAAAGGTCACCTCACAAGGGAACGCACACAAAGACTCTGAATGACTGGAATTGAGAGCTGGGAAGGCTGGAACCTGTTCAGGCTGGGCTCTGGCTGCTTCTTGGTCACTGTTAGCTTTCTGGCAAGGAATTAAAAGGTTGTATTTGTTTCTATGATTTTTGATACAGAGTGTGATAGTTCTTGTCTGTCTACCTAGTGCTTGGGGGCGTAGCTGTGCGCAAATGTTCTTTGCTGCCTAAGGCAGTGCAGTGATGCTCCAGAGAGTTTGTGTTCACTGCTGGTCATGACACAGGCGTGCCTGCACTCTTGGGTCAGTGACTCGTGCTGGGCTTCAGTTTTCTGCTTTTCCTCTGCTTTTGTTCCCTTGGTCTTACAGTAAGCTCTTCAGTAAACAGTGCCCAGATGTGATAAAGGGCTGCTGTTCGAATAAAACCAGCAGTTTATAGAATTTTAATTTCCAGCTGCATAATTAAAACACTCCCATGTAAGGCAGAAACGCTGCTCGGAGCTCTTGCTGTGATCTGGGACGGAATTTTGTTTTTGTTGTTGTCATACACTTAATCATAGGATTTGTTCCCTGTCTGTTTAGGCCATCTTAGCCAAATTGCCTGTTTAAATAAATGTTGCAACAGAACATCAATGAGTGCTTAAGTCCTGAGGTTTCTTTTTGAAGCTCTTTTTGAAGCTAATAAAGTGCAGTGTTACAGGCTATATACTCCCAAGAGAATTCATTTGAGGCAAGGTGAAACTTCAAGGCAAATAGGGATGTGTAGATGGCACAAGGAGACAGATCTGGCAAGGGATTAATGCACAGACTAGTATTTAGAGGGTGAAGAGAATATATAACTAAGAAAATCAAAATTAACAAAATCACTTTAACTGAACTGAATGTTTCTGTCATGTACAGAATCACATTTTGTCATAACTCAGTTTGGCAGTATTTTTTAAACACCTGCATGCAACAAGGAAGTATCTGCACTGCAAATTGGAACCCTGATCTTACAGTTTCATTGTCTGATCAATGTTGGGGTGTCTGTCTTTTGGTAATCCAGCCAGGTCTGCTTAGTGGCCCTGGGAAGCAACAAGTAGAGTGTGTGAGTTAGAAAATAGTGTGTCTTCACAGGCGGCAGTGTTGATCTTCTGTTTATTTTCCAGAAAAAAGGCTTAGAGAAGATGTGAGGTAGTCCTGAAAACCACACAAGCTTTCCTAAGTCAGATGCTATGTATGAGTGGCAGCAGCTGCTTCTGCCCTTTTTATTCCATGTCTGCTTGCCTGGGCACAGAGGACAAAGTGGTCTCTTATTTGAAAGAAGCCTATACTAAGTTCTTGAGCAGATTGCTGCACTGTGTACTTTGGAGTCATTCCTGTAGTAAATGCATACCACTGGTGCACCTCTTACAGGGTATGCCCTCTCCTGTGTGATAGAGGTGAGAGAACTCCTCAGTAGAGGCAGCTGAAAAGCTGCTGTATGTCGGCTGTGTTTGTGGTGCAGCGGGAGAGTGATCTCGTTGAAGAATGAGTTTCCCTGGTGAAAACAACTGCTTCTTGTGGCCATAGTTTGCTGGCAGGCTTTTTGCAGCCCATGCCAAAAGTCTGATGAGAAGTTTAAACTGGTTGCTGAAACTTAGTTGTCACAAATTGAGTTAATTGCCCACAGACAGAAGAGCGAGTATGCTCAGTGAAAGCGAGGTAACGTGGCGCAGCATAGACAACTTACTTGTGTGCAGTGCAAGTGACAGGGAGTAGAGCCAAGATTATAAATGCACAGTAAGAAATATGGCTAAGGGTAGCAGGACTGCTGATCACAAATTCTGAGATGTGCATAAAACACTCTAAAGCATAACATTTCATGACTTGCTGCCTTGTGTAGCTTTTACTGATGGAGTCTCACTGCTTCTTGCTGTGCCTGCAGTTTTGGGCCTTTTTGTTGTGTTGCTCCTTGGGTAATGAGGCTTGATAGTTTAAAGATTAGATGTCAAGATTAGACTTAGAGAATTGCATTCAGAAGTAGCAGGAGAGCATGTGCATGCAAAACCTGTAAGGGCTAAGGAAGTGTAGTTTCCATTGTTTTCTCTCTTTATGGTGCTGGTCTTCTTGGTGGCAAGGAAGACTGACTTTTCATTCACAGTAACAAGCATCTGACTGCCAGTCTTACTTTTTGCAAGTTGTTCAGAAGTTCATGAGAGCAAAGGAAACTCATTAAAGTTTTGGTTTGCTGTTTGCCCGCTCTGCACACATAATAATGTTTTTGACAATTTTACTTCGAAAGTTGATATACTAGATGCAAGTTCTTTGCTCTATTGGAAGTCTTCCTGTTATTTTTGGCTGTCTCAGCCTACACCTGATTGACAAGGTAGCAGCTTCATAAGGATTTTCATGTTCATTACAAATCTGAATGTATCCTTTTCTTGGATCCTTCATACAATAAAAATATTATGCTAAACTTGAGTCCTTAAGGTACCTGCATGAAAAGTAGTGAACACCAGAAAACTTGGTCCTGTAAGTTTCACTTTCTGTATTCCTAGGCCTGGGTGTCAGTCTGGCCTGTTCTTTACCAGTACTTTTAGTGGGTTGTTTTGTTTATTTTTATTAAACATTCAGTTCTGGGGTCTGAATAGCAAACACCATTAATCAGTTTGGCCTCACAATTCTCCAACTGAGAACTGAGGCATAATTAGGTGAAGAGATTCAGCTTTCATTTAAAATCATATATACTTGCTTTCTCCTCAATAACTATTACTAGTCCTTGTTTCTGGTTTTCATTGGTAAGCAGCACTGGCTGGAGCATTCAGGTGAGTTGAATCTGGGTAATAGGGAAATTATAAAAGTCTTGACCATTTCAGTGATGATATGTGATAACACTTCCTAGCAAGAGAAAAGATTGAGTGCTGTCTGCTGCAGGCTGTGGTAGCAGATGATGCAGTTTGGTTTTGTAGGCAGCTTGTCTTTCAGTGATAATTTTTTTGTTGTTGTTGTTATTATGGGGAACAGCCTTTTTAAATGTGAACTTATTTTGATGTTCCTTGTAATTTTATGCAATTAAATCCCCTGGCGCACTCAGGGAGGCTTTTCCTCTGTAGCTGGTATTAGTGGGCATGATTTTTTCAAGTCACATTGCAAAGTCTTTTGATACATCCAATATGGTTTTTTGCAGTCCAGAAATAGGTCTTCATTTATTTGACTGCTGCTGTCATTCTTAAAAGCCTGCTCTTGCAGTTCAGTGGACCTCCTTTGGCTGATTCACAGGACCAGTATGCAAAATGTGTGCCATGACCTTCATGTTATAGCACATATAGCACTTAGAGTTTGGCTGGTAACACAGAACTTGTGATTTTGGGCAATAGTAACAAGAAATTTGTGGTAGGAACTAGAAGCCCAAGAGTAAATTGCAGTGTCTCAGAATGTACTAGTTGAAATAGTGTGATGATAAGCAGCCACTCTGATGGAGGAAGAAAAGGTTGATGCAAAACTAGAATGTGTCAGGTAAAGTATTCTTTATGTAGAGATGAGAAATTAATTGTATTGCTTAAGGCAATGAAAAGGGTTGTTTGCCAGGAATACTGAGCAGGTGTGGAACTCAAATGTATCAAATGTGGGACAAACACTAGAAAAGGAGATAAGATATTCAGAGTGGAGTATAAATGGGTTTAAATTAGCTGTGAGAAAACATAGGCTGAAAATTACAGAAAAGTTTTAATCAGAGCAGAATATGATTGTGAGACAGTTTTCCAGGTGTAAACAAGATAAGAATCCCCCAATTTCCTCCTAGAATGAGAATGTGTTGTTTTGTATTTTTGTTTGCTTTTAAATGAACTAAATAAATCAATAGCTGAAATGACAGGAGGCAAAACTCTTGACTCAGGAAACCCCTTTGAGGACTGTGTTTCTGTGACCTTCTGCTTATACCATTCATCAGGCTGCTAAAGCCATTTTGTGGATTGTAGATTACTGTTGATGAAAAAAATAAATGGCAAGGGGTGTCACTGTATAGTTTACAAATGAGCTCCTCTGAAATTTAGGCATCTCTAATATTTGACCATTTTGTTTCCTGTGCCAAATTTTACCAGACCCACACAGCTGCTGTCTGGCACCCCTCCCAGGCTGGGGCTCTCCAGGCAGCAGGTTGAAAAACCTGGTTAACTCATGAATCTGTGTTTTGGGTGGATTGGGTGTGCCTGGATCAAACATTTGTCTTCAGTGAGTCTGTATTATTTTCATCTTCTATTAAGCATTTCTCTCCCTTGTGTGACCCAACTATACTCCAGACAGTGATTAAAATGTGGCGTTCCAGCAGAGTAACAGCAATGGAACAATTTCATATTTTCCTCCCTTGATGAGCCCTTAGCTGTGTTAATGGAAGCCCTGAATAATATGGTGTGAATTAATCAGCTTGTCTTCTGCTGCTATCGCTGCTGAGTGCTTGTGAGAGAAATGTTTCATCTCAGGTGGTCCACCTGGTTTTCTCAGTTTCAAAAAGTAAGATTACAAAGTAATATAGCTCTTTAAAAGCAAAGCAAAACAAACCCTAAAAAGCTACCAAAAAGAAGAAGGAAAACCAACTTTCTTTGAGCAAATAAACAAAGCTTGAAACTCCAGATTCTCTTGGTATGTGCATCCTTGGGCTCCGTGTTGTGGAAAGTGTGATGTCACGGTGGTGGTCCGTGCGCTGCTGAGGGTCACTGATCCGTGGAGTCTTGGCCAGCACGGCGAAGCGCTCCGCTTCCTCTGCTGAAAAATCTCCTTTCCAAACACATGATGTAAGGAAGCTTGCTGCAAGATGGAATCTGAATCCTTTTGGTACGACTGAGCAGAGTTTTGGTGAGCATGGAAAGAAAAACTTAGGTCCCCATAATATAGAGTTATTTT